TAATCATATCATTATGTTCTTATTGCATATAATTTAGAGTTTTAACCAATCATGTATGAACAGTCTGGATAAACAAAAAAGACTTTGTGACCTTTCTTGATCGGTCACCCATGGGAATTCTGCTGGGAATTCTCTTCTAATTTAGCTAATTATGAATTAATTATGGACATGTGAGACAAACCGGTATTTTTCCAAGTCATTAGAACACCTCTACTTTCTATTCATATAAGTATTAGCATTTTCATTTTCATAAATGAAAATAAGGGAATCCATCTTTAAACACTATGTTCTAAGATTGTAAATAGTTGTAAGACAGAGGACTGCATTATATGTTGGTGGTATTTAAAGCAATGTAGAATGTATTTTTAGTTTATCGTTGATAAAAACTTACATTTAACAGTTGGAGATAATCCAGAATATAGTAGAATAGGACCTGGGCTCTCTTCGTGATTTCCAGACGCATAGAATCCCTACAATTTACATAATGAAAATTTTTAGTTTGAATATTCAGTTTGTAAATTGCTACAAGTAGTAGTGCTCTGGTATCATGAATGAGATAAAACATGCTTGTCACCAAACAGGGTCTTTCGAGAGGGTAATATAGCTATATGTGGTTGAGGGAGACGGGAGAAACATGTCGAAACGTTGCATACATTTTTAACCAGTCATTGTTCCCGTTAGTTGTTATAATGTAAACAGAATGCTTTCTTTTTTCTTTATAAATTAGGTGTACTGTCACTGTATTGCTCATGTCTTCCCATATCGGATGGTAACCAAATTAGACAATACAGAAAACACGGCCTCTGTGACTAGGGTGGATGATTATACTTACCAGGATATTGCCCACGGCTCTGTCAGTCTCTGTATGTATCACATAGTACATATTATTACGATAGTCGAACGTTAGTCCACTGTATCCATTCCTCTTTGCTTCTTTAATAGTTCCTTCTAAATTAGAACTCTACAAAGAAAGGTTTGCATTGCTTATTCACTATAATATCTGAGTTGTGACATAAACCAATAACGCCGGGGAATGGAAGGGGGGAGGGGGTCTCAGTGAGTTAGACAATTCCTTTCTAACCAGTGCAGTGACGCAGGTTAGGGGCACTGGCATGGAAAAGGGACCACTTGAAAAACAATAAACGCAGATCACATGCTACATACAGACTGTGGAAGTTTGAAAGCGAAAAAAAAAAGAGTTGGCTTATGCCACTGTGATATGGCAAAATGTCCCATTGCAAACCCAAAAAGCTTCGTACAAGATGTCAAGAGAAGTATTGACACTATGACAGGCTCAACTACCAATATATATATATCGTTGTCATAGAACTATAGGGCCATTACTGACTTTTTTCTTGAAATTTACTTTTTAGGATGAAGGCAAAACCTCACGCCAGAAAGATCATATCTACAAAATAGACACTTTGTTATCAATGAATAGGTGACCTTTTAATATATTTATAATATTTGTAAATCTATTAAAGGTAGGGGGTTCAAAATGAGTGTAAACATGTACTTTAAAAGCTTCTATATTGAAACACCGGTTTTTTGTGACCTTATAGTTCTATAACATCGAGACAAAAAACCTTTAAAAAAGTCCATTAACAGGCATTAAGTTGACATACAGAGGGTCTGAAGGAAAGCATGTGTTGAAAAGGGGATTTCCCAGGCGGTCTCAACTCAACCCATTTGGGTCCACTGATCCAGTTGAGCAATAGCATAATGAATTAATAAATTACATAGATCTCTCCCTTGATATCATTGCTAAATTTCTTGTAGAGAACAGACGGGGTAACTCGCTGTAGTCGAATAGATACAGTGTCTTTCTTAGTTTCTACTGTAGCTATAGCTGGACCCACTGTTCTTCCATCATATGATAGGCAGCCTATAACAGAATAATTAAAAACACTTATTCTACATGCGTAGCCTAGTACAAACATTTCAAATTGGTATAATTACCCATCGGATCGAAGCAACCAATCCTCAATATCCATCACAATAACAAACTAATACGAATTTATAACTTATATTGCAATAGCCACTATTCTTGTATCGCCGAATACAACGAATTGATTGGATTATACGCAGGGGAATACAGCCAATCATAGCCTTCGACAGAAAAAGTTGTATCGTAACCATAATGGCATTTAGTTCACAGACTTTGCGTCTCTGATTGGTTGTATTTTCAAGGGTACAATCCAATCAAACCTCCGCATTAGCAAACTTCTGAGATATAAGAAAGGTTGCTATTGCAGTCAATGTATAAGTACGAAGTTCGTCTTTGCTTGAGGATGAATGCCTATAGGCTAACGAAGAATTTTACCCTTGCAGATACCAGAAGATCCTTAAAAGAGCCAAACTGCTGCACCCACAGACGCAAAAAGAAAGGAACTCACCGAAATCACTGAATACATACAATAAGCAAATCACCAAATATTGAAGATGAAATGATGTAGCCATATTGAAAAATTTCAACCCATTTTTAAACAGGGCGAGTAGGAAATGACTACTTAATGTCATTGACTGTGGTGTCTTCAGACTTTATTTTAGGATAGATTCATTCATCCATTCATCCATTCATTCATCCATACGGAAGATTCATTCATTCATTCATATAGGCTGATTAATTCATCCATTCATAAG